AAGTTGTCCCATTTCCCCCAAATTGTAGGAGCGTTGATGTCAGGGAAAGGTATTTCATGAAGTTTTGCCCACTCAGCGGCTAGTATGAGTTCCTAAAGTATACAACAAAGCATATAAAACAAAAAAGGAACCGGTTGTTTTTCAAAAGCAAACTGCTCATACACAATTTATTAAATTATTTATTCTCCAATCATTTACAAGTGGTATTAGCAATTTAATTTCAAAGTGTTAATATACAAGGTAAAAAAAATCAGTTTTTTTCCTCGATCGATTTTTGGTGACTTAAAAAGTAACTTTTTAACCGTTATCACGAGTGTGTCTTTATATACAAAGGTAGCCCTAGAGGATACAATACACTGACCTTTATATAAAAAAAATACTAAAGACGATTTTCTTTTGTAATAACAAAAAAAACTGAACTGTAAATGGGTCTGCTTTGTCACTTTCTCTTTCACTGAAATCAAATGACAGGATGAGATCAACCTCACGTTCTGGTCGTAGTATAAGAGGAAATGGAGAGTTGAATGCAAGGCCAGCGTCCACTAGATACATCTTCTCCGCATCTGTGGGGTTAATTTCATGCAACTCCTTAAATAGTCCATCAGCTTGAAATGATAAGAAAAAGGTGCTGAATCATGCCATTTAAAAATGGGTTGTTCTAAAATAGTCTTTTAGTATTTAAGATATTGATAAAAGCATTAGAAATGTAATATTTGTATATGTATTTTAAAATATTTTGAAAAAGAACTCTGAAAAACGTTCTGATTTAGTAATGAACAGTATGTGATTATATGACCTTTAGTTTCACACTAATTCTCTTTACAATTCAGTCATTACGTTTTTTAACAAAATGGTCTTTCAGGCTTAAATTTACATTATCATAACACAATATTATGACATATTGAAAAACATAAAAGGTGTAAAAATAAAACTTTTTCTTAAAAAGTATAAAGTTATATAGGGAAGTGTGCTTCAAGAATAGTATTTGTTTGCGTCGCATAACAAATTACATTCCGCAAGTTTATGAAATGACCAAAGTTCGACTTATAGCCGACGTACGTGATATATGTGTTTGTGTATATTATCGGTAAGAGAAAATATCAGTTTTTCCAGGTTTTCATATTTGCGAATAACTCTTGCCCAACACTGACAGGGACACATTTTGTGAAACTTATCTTCGCTGTGTTCATTTGAATATAAAAACCTATGATGGATGATTAGTTTTTGCAATTTTATATCATATTTTCTCAGCTACAGCTTTACTGTACACTCTTTGAAAATATAAACTATTTTAACACAGCTTTAAAGATGGTTTTCAAAAAACTAGATCTTTTCACAAACTTATTTTTCGCAGCAAAGTCGTTTAAAATTTATTGGAAAAGAAACAAAAATGACTTTGATAATACAATACAATAAAATGTACATATTGTATAAAAACATTTAAAAATAAAGGAATATGATTATCTGTCATGACATGTATTACTAGTTATTTTATATTAAGAGAATTTCTTAGACAAAACCACGCAAACACATACAATTAAATTTATGTCACATACTTGTCAATACAAATGCTTTGTGTATCTCAAATACTTACTAGTTTCGATCGTTGAAAAACAGCCTCCATCAGATCCTATTTAACAAAATTAGAAGCACATTTTATACAGGGTATAAATCCACAAAAACCTCTCCAAACAAACATAATACTAGCAATACTAAATTGCAATATATTATCCTACTCATACGAAGTCACAGTATAAATTCCAGTCACACTAAATTGCAATACATTAACTATTTAGTCACAGTGAATTGCAATATATATCAGTTAGAATTGTCAATATATCAATGCGTTTGTATAGAAAAAAATTTTTTTTATGTTGATGGTGCCTTTCTATCCAATAGACAAGATATAATGGAGAAATAGAGTTCGAATGTGAGGCGCATTATCGTTTATCTGCAACAATGTATATTGCCTACCAAGTATTGGTTCTCCACCCAACACAATGTCCGCCGAATTAAATGATCATATATACCCAGCTTTTTATAAAAGTCTAACTGATAAAGATGTATACTGGCGATAAAGTTCCGTCACATTCAGTCATTTACGAATTCATTAATGATCAAATACTGCGAAAAAAATGTCGTTTCCTTCTTTATTAACTTGAATGAAAACGTGTTGCAAAATAACTACTTGAGAATTATGTTTATGGAGCATATAACTCCTCGAAACTTATTAGACTAAGTTATCGTACTAAGACTAAGACTTACCGTACTTATCAAAAATAAGCAGAGAAATTATGATGCTTACAATTTTATGTGATGAATCCAATCGTCGTTTGCAAGGTCTCAGGACACCGCTGTTACATAAATACTTAGACTAGAGGCATTCCGAGTAAATTAAGCTACAAGCTTTTTCTGTTATACAAAACATACCAACCTTCCCCTAAGTCCATAAACGAATAGTTTCGACATTAATATAGGAAACAAAACTTTATCTACTAATTCTAGATGGCTATTAAATTGTTATATACAAAAAAATACAAGAGCGATCAGTAATCACATGTGTCGCCTCATGATGGCCAATTTCATGTTGGGACAAAGTTTGTGACAGACAGACAGACAGACGGACGGACAGTGCACAACTAAACTTGGTACTGATCATTCCTTTGGATAAAATTGCACCAGTAGTTTATGAGGAATAGTCCGGACAAGCTTTTGCGTATCTGGCAACACACAGAAAAAACACCTTTTATCAAAGGGCCATAACTCGGCCAAAAATCATTCAACCGGAAAACCCGTGCAATATGCACAAGGACTTGAGCTACAGATCAATCCTGTAAAGTTTCATTGAATTTGCATTAGTGGTAAAAGAGAAGTAGTCCGGACAAACTTTAAAATTAAAAATTATTAAAGGGCCATAACTCTGCCAAAAATCATTGAACCGGAAAATGCTGACAATATGCACAACTAGACTTGGTACTGATCATTCCTGTAAATTTGGATGAAATTGCACCAGTAGTTTATGAGGAGTAGTCCGGACAAGTTTTGTGACGGACAGACGGACAGACAGACGGATAGACGGACAGACAGACGACGGAGAAGTGATCACTATATGTCGCCACTACTCCGTAGAGGCGACACAAAAATCATATGAAGGAAAAGTACCATAGATGTCTTACTAATTTTTGTAGATGGTCGGTATTCCTGCAGTTGAAGACCACGCATGAAGTTATTTACAACAGCCGCCCTTCCATGAATATCATTAGAGATCTTGTCTACAAAAGGCTGTTCCATTATCATTTCAATTTTTGTTTTTGACTTATCACCTCTTACGGCTGTCTCCGCTTCTGGTACATCTGTATTCGATTCGAGGGATTTTTCTACTTCTGATTCTGTTGATATTGGAAAGAAACTGATCTACTTTTTACTCTTCATAATGGATACAACCAAATTACGATTTCAATTTAAAATTAATAAAAGAAATTCAACATAAATAGTTTTAAAATACCAATAAAATTTCTTTCTTCCAGTACGTTTGGGGCCGCCTGGTCAGTTTGGATGAACCGATTCAATAAAATGCAGTACGCACTTCCCCAGATACCTGAAATCGATTTAACGTAAACGTACAGTGCAACAAGGAACGCTGGACACGAAGAAAACAGTAATTGACGCATACAAATTCAAACCCATATAATGGATCACTAACTTGAACACATGAGTTGAAAAATGCAAAAAAAAACTTTGGCCAAAATTGACTAATATTCTTATTCAAATTTAGAACATATTTTAAAACATGCCTTTGTTATGTATAAGAAAAAGCAAGTAGAAAAAAATGAAATTTTGTATCAAAATAAATATTCACGAAGTGTTGCCAAACAGGTTTGAAATGCTATTTTTGTTCAACTTATTTTACTTTATCAACCATGATTGGAAGGAGTTGGCGAAGTATGTGTTTAAAGGTGCTAAAACATTTTTTGAATTCTTATATAGATCTAGTGAAGCAGTTTAAATGGAAAAATTATTAAAGGCTGATAAAGAAATGTAACCGGAGAGTTTTTTGGGTTTTTTTGTAGTTTTTAGCCCAACTGACCCATGTTTTGGGATAATTTTGCACATTAAAAATGATTATTCTGGTAAAAAAAGGGTGTGGGAATAGTCTAAACATTTGCGCATTAGTTATTGATCTAGACCCTCATCAAATTGTACTTAAATCTCGGACAAATATTTCCAGTCAAGTCAATCAGCCTTTCAAATGGCAGTTTTTATTATGGTAACTCAAAACTGCATAAAGAAGCAGTATCAAAAAATGAGTAACAATAAAAAAATTTCAATGACTTTACCTAGAAGAAAATGCAATGGAAATTCGTCAAATTCTTTTAGTACGCGGCCTGAAAAGAATTCACTTCCGAACAACTTTGGTTGCAAGAAGGTCCCATACTTTGGCATGCCTATCGCAAAGGGGCTAAACTCAATCCACTCTGGAAATTTACATCTTTATATTAATTATTAATTAACATATCACCTGAACATGTATGAGAAAAATTCTGATTTCTTTGCCTTTGTGATCAAAAGTAAACATTTGTATTTTAAATTTACCTCATATGAACGATGAAGAACTCAATTTTTGGTCAATCTCCATTATAATAGCCATTTTTTTCTAATTATTTAGTAATACAGCACAACTTATTATTGACAAGTGAAACATGCCACTACTAGAGCAGGGTTTTTATTGTGCACCATTTAAAAAAAATCGCAGAAATCTTTAAGTGCCTTTTGTTTAATTTTATTTACTGAATCTTGCTTTACCTTTAGTTGATAAATAACAATTTACCATGAAACACCTTTGCTGAAGTTTCCCTTTTCACATTCAGAGCTGCATATAATGGCAAGGGAACTGATCCTTCCTTCACCTTTTCTTGTTGGTTTGTCATTGTTGAATATTTTCGCTAGATGGTGTTTTTAATTTATGGGTAAGATATTCAAAATAATAAATTTATAATAAACTTTTGAAAATGTTCACAGAATTATAGATATCATTAAATAAAGACATTTATTCATTATTGCATGGAGGGAAATTGATTTGTTAAAAGCAATGGTAAAGATTGGGCCAAAATGGTCCCTTACTAGTATCTGAACAGTAAAGTCGACCACAAACACGTGCTCTTTTGTTAACAAACATATTGTGAATTTTAATTCTTTCCAGTAAATTAATATAGTTATTAGAATTGTACAGGACAGTGATCTATGCATTCAAATCATTTCTCTGATGTGTTACGTAAACGATGTATGAACACGTACGTGTCATCGAAGCTTAAAAAAGCAATACTAAGTTTTTGTTAATACCGGTTTTCAGCAATGTGGCGCCATATATGACATGGTATATATATCGGCTTGGTAAAATGGAAAATGGAAAATTTAAAATAAGCTATATTAACCTATATATACATGTATAAAAATGGACACGCACTTTCACTGAAATAAACGATTTTTAAATCTTCAATGATTTTGCAGATATTTCGTCTGTTTTAAATTTTTGCATGACAAACTAATGACAAATACCCATACTATCTTTGACAGTCCCGCATTGTCTTTGTAAGATATTAAAACATCTTTAAAACCTAACAACAACGTTATTATCAGTACTTTATGTACCCTTTGCATTAATAAATACCATTATTGCTTCTAAACCAAAAGTGTTTTACCTTTTGAAGAAATTTTTCACTGATGATACGTCCGTACACATTAGTTAAGGAAAATCCCTGACTTTTTGAATAGTCAGAAGCCACCGATAACCAATGCTTAGGATTTAAAAGTATCCGCCAAGAACTTGACACAATGCCTTTACGTAATTCTGAACGAAGGTCTAGAGCTGACTTCTTTTGCGGCCAATCAGGATGGGAATACAAAGTTGAAAGGTACCTATATATTTAAATAACTATGTTGCTAATAACACAATTGTTTTGCATTGCCGTATATTCATATGTATTTTTATAAAAATTAATTTTTGAAGTATCATTTCAAAGTATTAAATGGTAATTTCGTTTTGAAAGAAAATATAGTTATTCTCCTCAGGTGTCCGTTTGTGCCTGAAATAATGCAAGTAAGGGCAGCTTGGGTCTTCTCTCATCAGTACAGCTGGATATTCGCTGGATAACCTACATGGTGTTGGTGCGACGTAAAACATAACCAATAAGGTTTATAATACATGCAATCCAGTTTTTCGTTATACGCTCCTGAGTGCACTACAAGATGATTAAGAAAATGCAGCCTGTGCTATTGTTTTATTATAATACAGAGACAGATTACGGTTTTGGAGAAAAAGAAAAGAAAAAGATATCTTACCAAGCCGACCCAGAGAGACCTACGTTATACATAACCATATCTGCTATTTCAGAGCGTACCAGGGCGGACATGACTCCAGAAAATGCTGTCATAGCACGAAATCCGCCACCAGATCCCATAACTGCTATTCTTGGAACCTGTCGGTGAAAACAATATTAAACTTAAACAATCACTTTAAAATAATTAATGAAAATAAGACCATAAAACGTCATTGCGACATTGGAAAATCACAACAAATCAATTGAACTCATTGTACACCCATATTATAAATATGAAGTAATTTCAAGGAGGTACGTTTTACAAAATATTTGATAAAGTTTTGGTTACGATAAGAATAATTATAATAAAATTTGTTTCTAAGCATCACAGATAGAACCTAAGCATTCAATAGACAGTAGTTTCTTTACAATAAATGATATGGGCCGCGTCACGACAAAACCAACAAAATGGGTTTGCGACCAGCATGGATCCAGACCAGCCTGCGCCTTCGTGCAGTCTGATCAGGATCCATGCTTTTCGCTATCAGTTTCTCTACTTGTAATAGGATTTGTAAGCGAACAGCATGGTTCCTGATCAGACTGTGCGGATGCGCAGGCTGGTCTGGATCCATGCTGTTCGCAAACCGATTATGTTGGTTTTGTCATTACGCGGCTGATATGTATTATAGTTTAAGTACATAAATCTCTGCAGCTGGGGGATTGTCCTTTAGTAAGCCCGCCATCGTTCTTAAACAACTTTTTAGCCTTGTGTCAATATACTTCTTTTCTTCATCACAAAGACGATGTCCGAGTAACAATTTTGTTCCTAAACGGCTTCATAAAACAACAAAACAAAATTTTAAATTAATTATTAAAGATCTGACACATACAAACTAGGATTTAGTGAACTTATCGGGGCATTTGACATTCAGTATGATGTATCCAAGTTTCTTATAAAGAATACATTAATTATATGGAATAAGTGTCTTATAAACAACCAAATTTTAGCAAACATAACCTTACAACGAATAGTTGAAACGCATGACGTTTTATAAGATACCAGTATATGTATTATGCAGTATTGTTATTAATTCAGGAAGCATGCAAATATATTCCTAATAACCAAATGAACGCTAAATTCGAGTTCGTGTTTTTAAGTGAAGACCATTGCAACTAGCTTTTAACAATCTTTTAATATGACCATGAAAGCTGGCACAAGTTCTTTTCAATGTAATTAAACAATATTCCAAGACTGTTAATTTTCAACGTAAAAATTTAACTGCTGCAGTTTTGTTCCTGACCGGCTTCTGCACCGTCAAGCAATTGCAAACAATTCCGCCAGTCTAATCGGGTTCGAATTTGATGAATTTTAAGCTTTTTGGTATTGAAATCCTTTAAAGTTGGAATTAATGTACAGTTCCACATTCAAAGCAGTTCATACCAATTATAATTTAAAAGTGTAAGGGTTAATACACTTTATTTGTAAAACAAATTTGAAAAAAAATCAAACCAATTAAAGACTTCCCATGTGACTATATAAGGCTTTAACAATTTTAAAACAAGAGAATCGAAAGGCAGGGTAATATAAGTCCGAATACATATTTGTTTAGGGAATCATAAATAGTCTTTAAAAAGGCAGAGATTTATTCATAAAAAACTTATTCCAACAAATTAAATGAAATATATAATATCTTTAGTTTGTTTCATTAGGATTTGCATTACACCAACATAGTATAGGTCATATGACGACGTTCCGGTTATAGTGGTGGAAGAAGACCACAGGTGCCCTTCCTAGCATTATTTCAGCCTTAGTAAACACCGACGTTCCGTTAGCCAGCTAGATAGCTTCCTGACATTAAAAAATCCAAAGTCTCTGTCGGAATTATTCTTGCCGTGAAACTACCTAGTTTGTCACTTATTTTATATAATATTTCAAAAATAAGTCAAAAAAATTTTACCGAATCATATTTAAAGCTGCATGCCTCCAGATGAGCGAAAATATTTCAATAAAAACAAATTTGAGAAAAATATACTAAGATTTTAGGCAAAGTAAAAATATTCAAGATTCAAGTAATAATTTACATATTATGTGCGATTAATGACTGATTTTTCAGTATTTATAATTATATTTCTACTGCGTTACTAACGCAGTAAGGGCAATTTTTGCATATTTTGTCCTCTTTTTCATAATTTCGTGGGCTGTAAGTGCCATTGATAATTTGCAAATTGCTTCTTTTTGGTTATTTCAGTAAATACTACTTTTAAACACATTTTCAAAATTTTCATGAAAGTTAGCATGAATCTGGAGGCGTGTTGCTTTAATTCTTTGTGGCATATAAAATTGCAGCTTTATAACTGATTCGGCAAAACTTCCATGTCATATCATTTATAATCAAATTATGGAAAAGAAAAGTTTTTTAAGGACATGATACATAATTCAATCTAAACAATGTCAAAGCAATTTTAAATTAATTCAATCAAAGTCCTTAAAGATTTATATTGGAAAGAATAGGCAAGCACGTGTTCTCTTAATGGATGAATGTGCTGCTGTAAGAATTAAAATAAAAATCATTAATTTTGAAGAACTTGAGGTTTTTTGTTGTCTTTCCAAAAGTTTATCTTAAGATAATTTATTTTAGGCTATTTTCAACACACATTGCACTGATTCTAAACTCAATAAAGAATAATGGCATTAATGGTAAACACAGCTCGTGTAATTAATTTCAGATAAGTTGATCACTCATATCTGTTTAACGGTTCAACACGTGACACTTAAACAGAGGATAGCAGATATGTTTGAGTAACCTGACTGAAATAAATGATACTATTTATACAATAACGCACATAGTAATTGGAGAGGTCATCAGACCTCTCTACAGTGCTGAGAATGATTGTTGGCGGCACCAATTGTGCCAATCAAATTGAAGTTATTTATTTCATTTAAAGTCTTAAATCATTAGAACCAGTTTTCAAAAGCATGAGGCTCTTCAAAATACGACTTTGTTTAATATAAAAGGTAACAACAAGTTGAACTAATCAGTAAAAGGGAAAATCGGAGAATATCAGTTATGTTACATTTAAAACTACAAACAGTGATATCTTTCCGTTTTTTATGATTCAAACTGTATAAAGTGATTATTGTTTTCTTAATAGGAAATAATTTTTTTATGTTTTGAAAAACATCAGTAAACACAAATGCTACAATATCAAGAAGCACCACTATCATATGTGCGAGTGAAACGTGTACCGAACACATTGCTGATTATTCCTAATTAGAGCACATACGGATTGAGACGGAAACAGCCGATATGTTGCTATTGTTTGCGATGGAATGCGACCAGTCAGAAATTCTTACTTAAATTTCCGCCACATGAACAATTAAAACATGTTTAACAGCTTCAAAAAGACCTCTCGTAAACAAACACTATTATTTCCTATAATATTATTATTAAAGCGGTTAACCTGTCTGTGATTTGCCTTGTGCCCGGTCCCATTTTTTTCTTTCCTGAATTGAGACTGATCAGTCATTCAATTATAAGAATGAAGAATGTACGATAAGACATCGATTCTGTGGAAATTGAGTGTAACATGTTATTTAAATAATTATACTAACAGACTAACTGTGCTTTTCCTTCAAAGATTTGAGCACACTGAAACAATTAAATAGTAAATTATAAGAATAACTTACTCGACTTTTGCCGACATTACTACTTTAATTACGACATCCTGCAATAATATAAATGTGATTATATTATGACATGTCAATAGATATGTTTCTTGTTTAATATAGAATAAAGAAAAATCGATCTTCTTTTTTACTGATGATTTAATGTTTTTATAGTATATAAGTTTTATGAAGTCAATTTGAATAAGAACTAAAATAATGAGATACAAATTGATTAATGCAATAGCATACCTCCCCGGCATTTTTAAAAGAAATACTAGTATTTTATCTTTATCTTTTGAATGTATAAACTGCCATACTTAATGATTTAAATTAGTAAACAGACATTGATTTTGACAGAGTCGCTGTTGCATAGTTCTAGTTCAGATGCGCATTGGTATATTAAAGAAGATTTGTAGTTTAATGTGAATACAGAATTACAAAGAATTTTAACGTTAAGTCATGTATTATTTGTATAAAAACGCAAGAAGAATGCATGTAATTCGATTTACACTTACAATAAAACCGATAAAGAAACCATGAAATACACTGAGCGAAAATAAAAATGTCATGACTATATATGATGATGAACGACATTTAGTCTCAAATTTGGAATCATTGATTTCAGCAAGTTAGTGCGCAAGATTGAATACTACTTAAGCTGGTGCTAGGGGGTTGGAGAATGTTTCAGTTTTGCATTATATTTCATGAACAGACTCGGTCAAACCGAGTCTGGAATTTTCATATAATATCACATAATATCGTTATTTTCATTGCTTCCGAATGTCACCCATGTTCACCATCTAGTGTGCTGCCTACATATTCCTCTGTTCTTAACATCGTACAGATTTAAGTTCAACGTCCGCGAAATACAATTCCATAACAAGTTGTGTTCATGTTCATAATGCGCATCTGACAGCTCCTAAATAAGTATGTTTTACCTCATCAATGTCTATATGTCTATCAACTTTTTCATCTTTCACCAATTGCTTTAAACTTGGTATCGATATAATCTCAGTTGAGATAATTTCGCCTTGCTTTACGTTGCCTTTCATCAGAGATATTTCTGCAATTAATCCTCCACAGTTTTCAAATAATTCGTTTCTCATCTAAATTCAATTGAGTTAAACAAGAAAATTTCCGAAACAATTACAATGTACTTTGGACTTTAAACTTAACGTTTGTTACTTTTCAGATAAAACGATTTTTAAAGACTACCAGGTTTCCAATTGAATGATTTGAATTCAATGAATTGAAAGTTTTATTCTGAAAATGTTCGGAACTTACCCACTTTGTTTCCTTCATCTTCTTTTAGGAAGAACTCGAACTTTTCCCTTTTGAATGCACTGGCTTCGCGTTCAGCATCTGGTGCTTTCTTCACAGCTATCTTAATACATATATTCTCGCCGAAGTAATCTTAAATACAGGGGTATTAGAATATGATTTTATGACCCCTGATAATAGTAGCACAATAGTGGGTTTGCTTGATGCTTAATAGATATATGCTGAAAAATAATATTTCTTACGAATTCAGAAAATCATATATGAAAATCATATAGCATTACTTAAAGCAAGTGTTCATATATATCCTTAATGACGTTGAACATAAAAAAATAGCAAAACAGTTGCTTACAATACGAGAGGTGTTCAATTCATTATGAAATAGTTTTAAAACATGCCTAATTATTTACTATCATGGGGATGGATCCATGGCAAAAAATAAATCATTCTACACCCTTTTGGCTAGCTTCCTTAAGTCCTACTTTTGCATAACTGAGGTTTGAGTTGGTTCCGCTATTCTTTTAGAGCCTTTTTAAGACGGAACATGGTATAAATCTTGCGTTTTGTAGTCTATGTTTCAGTATACTCCAGATACCAAAGTCCAAAGGAGCTGCATCTGGGCGTTTTTACATCAATGCTATAAGTGTTTTTTAATTCAATTTGCATTTGTTGAGAACGTCAATGGTCATTTCAGCGGTATGACTAAAACCCGGGTCTAGATACCATATAATTCTCTCTTTCAGGACAAAGTCGCTGAACATTTTTTTAGAACTGGCTTTAGAACTTTGTTTTTGGTAATATTTTGCATTGACTTTTACCCTGTAACCCAGGTGCAAATGCGACTCGTTTAACAAACTTCAATTTGTTTTAGTATGTTTAAGTTTAAGTTCGAACCAAACAAACACGTTGTCGATCTAGCTACCGCCCATATAAAGTATAGTCTCATCTGCGGTGACAATGGTTTTCGTTTTTCCACAGTTAAGACGGAAATATAGACGCTATGATCGAGCACGTCATTTCAAAATCTGAGCCTCACTAAGCCTATCAACACAACACTTTTTCCTGCGTTTTGCCTTTAGAATTTTTGCTATTACTCTGTTGACAGTGTGTAGAATCATCCTACAATTAGCTGCCAATTTTCTTTATGTGGGAGGATTCAACAACGTAATCATATTACGGATTTTACGTACGACGTCAGCGGCGACTGGTAAAAAGAACCACTTTTACCTGTTTTGCGTATGCTATTTCGAATAACACCTTAACCATGTTGAATGCGATCCAGAATCCAAAAAAACAGCACCCTAGCTCACCTCCTCTGAAGAAATTCAAAAGGGTGCCATCAGCAGGGAAGATGATGGCTTCAATTTTTAGGGTTTGTCAAAGGATAATCATGATTGACTATCTTGAGCAAGGTCGTACCATAAACGGTACGTTCTATGCAAACGAATTGAGACATCTGCGTCAACAAATCGCGCGTAAAATGAGGGTCAAACCGACTCAAGGCGTTCTGCGCCTGCACGACTAAGCGTCAGCATACACATTCAAAGTTGCGATGACTGCTGCAACTGACTGCGGCTTTGAAATTCTTCCCCATCCCCCATATTTTCCGGACTTGGCCCCCTCTGACTTCTACCTGTTTCCGAAACTGAAAACCAAGCTTCGTGGTAGACGTTTTAGAAGCAATGAAGGTTCCATGGAGGTGGTCAATGAGTTCTTTGAGGACCAAAATAGAGACTTCTATTTTGAAGTGTTCAACAAGTTGGAGTACAGGTGGGCAAATTGCATTGATGTAGAGGGCGATTATATTGAAAAGTTAGACAATTAGCTAGGTTCTCTGACTACCGAAAATACATCGGGCCAAGAACTTTTTTATCAATACTCGTACTTTAGCATTGGCGTCCACGATTAAAAAGAATGCTACATCAAATTTAATGAAAATATGAATGTGATCAGTATATTCATAGAGAAAGGCCATTATCTACATACGGTGACGATTGATAGAAAACAAACGCCGAATTGCCATGTAACCGCAATGTTCCCTGATAAAAAATAATGATAATTAATACAAATCAATAAATTCTGTAATGGGAAGGGAAGGCGTCCAATCAGTAAATAGGTCCTATGCAGTAAAAATTCCCTTTCGTACGCAACCTCTAATACCTTTGTTAAGCCAGGCTCTGTGTGATACATCAAGGGTTGTAAAAAGAAATAATGTATCGTTCGTTTCTTCGCTGTTGGTTGTTTTATCAAAATAATTTCAAAATGAAGTATATTTAATTCATACATCATTTGTCACATTTAATCAATATACAGGAGTAAGTTTTTTTATTAGTTTTTACATTAAAGTAGGAAAGCTTCTCGGGTTACGTATTTCTAATTCAGGATCATCAGCCTAGAGTTGAATAACAGATGTTCTGCTGAAGGTAGACGTCATCAACCGAGTGACCATTCGTCTGCAGGTGTTTCGCTCCATTTACACTCGGGACACCCTCGGGATGGCGGAGCAAGTAGGGTTGATCAGGCCCTACCCCGTCTACCTTGGCTGCCATTCATGTTTGCTACGGAGCATCCATAGCCAACTGGACGCTCTTTCGGCTGTTCTCCCCAGAGCATGGACTGTGCGCTTTCGTGCCGCTCCTTTGATGCCCAATGCTCCGAGCATCCTCCACACTGATTGTGATGGGAAGCCACGACATCCGACCTCAATCGGGAAGACCTGAGTGTTCCAGCCGTTGGACTTGCAGGATTGGGCCAAGTCTTCGTACTTGGACCTCTTGAGCTCGTGGGATTCTTCAATGCGTTCCTCCCATGGGACTGTCAGCTCAACCAGCACCACTCATTTAGGATTCCTGGACCATATCACAATGTCTGGCCGGAGGGTAGTCTGGGCGATCTCCTGGGGGAACTGTAGTTGTTCCTTTAGGTCAGCCTTCATTTCCCATGACCTGGATTCATTCAGGATTCCGGTCGATGCTGGGGCTGACTTGGGTACTTGTTCTCCCTCCTTCAGGAACCCGATGTAGGGGTTCTGGTTTGGCCTCGGTCTCTCTTTCTTCCTTTCGGCCTCAAGGACGTGGGCTACCTCAGACAGGACCTGGTCATGACGCCATCTGTAGCGCCCCTCAGATAGGGCTGTGGGGCATGATGAGAGTACATGTTTGAGTGATCCTGGTGAACCACACAATGGACATGCCGGGTCGTCAATCAGCTTCCACTGGTACAGGTTGGTAGGAGATGGGAGCATGTCGTAGATAGAACGAAGCAGGAAACTCAGTCTGAGTGGCTCGTACTGCCAGATCTCTTGCCAGGATAATTTCCTTTCTGGAACCTGCCATCTTGTCCAGTTTCCCTGTGGTCCTAGCTGGACTGCCCTTGACATTCTTTCCTGCTCTGCTTCTTTCCTGATCTCGGTCTGTACTAGGGATCTTCTTTCCTGCTGTGTTGAAGACTCCCATCCATCTTTGGTGCTTCCTGGTGCCTAGTCCTTCTTTTCCTATGTTTGTCATACCCACAATGTCTTGGTGCTTGAGACTGCTCTCTGCAAGCTCCACCGCACGACGCACTGACCACTTTCGCCCAGTCCTAACCTCGATGCCAGCGCCGCTGATCTTCTCGTCTTTGGAATCTCGCAGCGTTAGCAGAAGTCTGGTCTTAGCAACTTTGAATTCCTCTAAAATAGAGTTGATGGGCATCTGTAGCTCTGCTGTCTTGCTGTAGAGACCTATGTTGGTGAAAGATGGAGGCAGGCCTAACCATCTTCTTAGGTGCTTGCTGACAGTCCGCTCCAGCTTCTCTACTGTACTGGTTGGAATATCGTTAACCATCATTGGCCAAACGAGTCTGGGAAGTAGATTGTGTTGGTACACCCAAGCCTTGAATTTCCCCGGAAGATCGCACTTGTCTATTCTTCTCAACCCCTCCTCCGCCTGTTGTTGAAGACGGGCTTGACTGCTCTTGTCTGATAGTGTGGCGTCGAACCACTTTCCCAAGCATTTGACTGGATTGTTGGACAGGGATGGGATGTCCTCTCCCTGTATGGTCATCTTGAATCTTTCCGTGACCTTTCCTTTCTTAATCACCAGGCTTCGTGACTTGGCTGGCTTGAACTGCATTCGGGCCCATGTCGCTGTTTCCTCTAGTGCCGTGAGTACCCATCGTGCTTGGATGTGAGTTTCCGTCGTGACGGTCATGTCGTCCATAAACCCACGGTTGGATGGTAGGCGGATACCAGAGTTGGTCTTTGGGCCTCGTGTTTCCACCTCTGCTGCCTTGATGATGATGTTCATGCCCATCACAAACAGTATAACAGAGATGGTACATCCAGTCACAATGCCTTTCTGTAGCTCAATCCAGTCTGTTGTGAACTGTTCACAAGAGAACCTCAGGTGAATGTTGCTGAAGTAACTCTGGATGAGTTTTGTGGCATGATCCGGGATGTGGTAGTGGTGCAGAGCTTCCAAGATCAGTTGGTGTGGGATCGATCCATAGGCGTTCGCAAGATCTAACCAAATGACACTGAGATCTTTGTGGTTGATCCTGGCCTCGTGAAGCAGCTGCGTTAGAGCGCTGGTGTGCTCCACGCACCCCGAGAAACCGGGTATTCCTCCCTTTTGGACTGAGGTGTTGATGTACTGGTTGCTTAACATGTACGAGGACATGCGGTTGGCCAGTATTGAGAAGAATATCTTGAACTGCTTTACTGTCTTAGAGTCTTTCTCCTTGGGCACAAAGCCACCTTCGGCTTGTTTCCAGCAGTCGGGAACTGTTCCCTTCCTCCATACCACTTTCAACAGTTGCCAGAGACGTCTCAGAAGCTTGGGGCACTTTTTATAAACTTTGTAGGAAATGCCACTCGGTCCAGGAGCTGAACATGACCGGGCCTTCATAACAACACTTGTCACTTCTTTAAATGTTGGTTCCTTCAGATCTAGTGGAATTGATGGTTCTTCAACAGGAAGAATTCTGTCACAGTTGCCTAGCGGGTCGTGCCTCTTGGGGTCTGAGTGTACATCCCGTAGGTGCTGCTCCACTTCGGTCTTACTACTCTCCATCTTTCCTGATTTTTCCCCTCCTAGTAGGTCCCTAGAAAATCTATAAGGATTTGCTATGAAGGCGGCTCTCTTCTTTGCTTTGGTCTTCCTCTTTTTGGCCACTCTCTCTGCCGTAGTGAGGGTCTTCAGGCGTGACCTCAGCTGTTCTCTCAACTGGGCGAGACCTTCTCTCTCAGTCTGGTTGGCACCCTTGAAACGCTTACGTAAAGTACGGAGTTCTGTCCGGAGCCTCTTGATCTCACACTGCCTTCTGTTTGGGCGCGGTTGAGACTTCCTTGACTCTCCTTTCTTCACTTCTCCGAACCTCTCTCTTCCAAGGGTGTAGGCTATGGAAGGCAACACTTGTAGTTTCCTTTCCACAGCACCTGACAATGTTGACTGAAGGATCAGGTCCAAGTCATCGTCAAACGTCTTCCAGCTACTGTCGTTGGTATTGGGCCATGCGATCTTCGGTTTTCTGTCGCTTGATGTCGGTTGTCGTGGTCTTGAGTCTGATTCAGCTTGCCCTTGGTCTGGTACTTCCTGTGTTTCATGGAGTGGAGTTGTACTCTGTCTACTTTGTGCAAAGATTGGAGAACTACCTCCTGAAGTCACCCTTGGTCGATCTGTTCGAAATATTGGGGACTCTTCTCCATCTCCAGTGGGAGGAATTGGCTCCTCAGACGGCTCTGTTTGGTCTGTGGGATTTGCTGTACCGTTCTTGATGTCATATGCAGTTAAGGAATGCACGGGAGCTGAGAGACAAGTAGCACTGTGGTTCGGCACCTGACTAGATATCTCCCCCGTCTCACCAGGGTTAACTGTGCGTTGTTCCTGTGTATTCCGTAGCTGACAGCCACTTCGAGTCTGGTGGATTTTCATCCCCCTCCTGTTCTTGCACATCTTGCCACAGGGGCACATGATGGCTGTGCTGTTATCAGTCTCACTCGTAGTCCGTTTGTGTTCCGTGTTCGTTACCGTGAAATCAGTCCTATTAGGTCTTTCATCCTCCCCCCCTCTCGGAAGACCCTGGGGGTATTCTTCGTTCGGTTGTGTTGTAGCAGTTTTGGCGGGTGTCTTCTCGCGAAGACTGCACAGCGGGGAGCCGACCCACTGTACACCGTGAATCCAGTCTTTCCTAGAAGTCGCCTGTCTCTCCAGGGTCACTGTTCTATTCTCAGTTGTCATCCAGACTTTCCTGGAAGTCACTGGTAAACCAGAAAAACAGAGTTGAATAACAGATGTCCTGCTGAAGGTAGACGTCATCAGCCGAGTTACCATCCGTCTGCAGGTGTTTCGCTCCATTTACACTCGGGACACCCTCGGGATGGCGGAGCAGGTAGGGTTGATCAGCCTATATAATTTCGACAATTATTTCAATAAATCTAACAACGGGTTAAACAAGAAGGTGGTGATACTTGATATTAATTTGTGATTTTGTTTGGCGAACCCTTCTGCATCTTAACTACCATTTCACTACATTTGAATTAGCCCTCAGCAATATCTTTTTCATAAATGATCGCATCAATACATATAAATCCACTTTAATATTTGTGTACTGCACATAAATAAATAGAAATTTCTTTTTTATCATTATATTTCGACAACTTTATAATGCTTTAAATTTATCAACTGATAAAATTTAAAACGAATTAGAGGAGTTTAGCTTATGTTTTGAGTATTGATATATAATATAAACTTCGAAATCAATGAAATTTGCGTAAATCTTGTAAAATACGAATTAAAAGTTCTAAATGGCCAGACTTTAAGACACTTAATCGTTTCATCTGTTTCTATATACAAAATAAATTTGACCCTTACTTGTTTGGAACCATTTCGGTGAAAAGTACAAGCTGACAATTTCAAGGTTGAAAATATAGCAATCCTCTTCCAATGCCTACAAATAGACATAATGTAACAAAGTTCACCATAGCAACAACTTACAAATACAAATCAAAGTATGTTACAATAATTTGGCATTGTCAAAAGCAATTTTATAAACAAATAAAACTGTTTCAAGAATATATCTTAATTTATAAATGAAATGTTAAAATGATCATTCCTTATATGATCTGGACTATATCATTTAAAAAGAAATGAGGATTGATAAGAATATTATTTTCTGTTGCAGCAGCTTTTATTTGGCTTTCCCCAAAGTTTGACTTTCATAGAGGTCCGCTCAACGATTTTACATACTGCTTTGCATTTCAATCATTAAGTCTTTATAACAGTTATCATATTGGCCTTTACAAATTAACAACTTTGTAAAGCTTCGTTCTATGTATATTCAGGGTTAGGCTCAGTGTATTCTTGGTTAGGCTCAGTAGTTTTATCACCCACTTTTCCGCGGTGGTTTAGGATGAGATGTCAACTGAAGATAATTTCGGATAACGGACGGTCAGGAAACGACCATTAGCATAAGATGGCTATGGCATCTGGGATAGTCAAAGTGACTTACTTGCTGTTATAAATTTAACTACATGTAAATGACCATGAAAGTTTAATATTTGTAAAGTAACTATTAATGTTATACATATACATTCATATACGTGATATATTAATATATATTTAACTACATCTGTAAAATAGGTAGCATTCAAACTGAAATTGAAACAACTACATGTATCTATAAAAACAATTTCATTTACTGATTGATTTAATGGATACCAAATTCATTTGGTACGTATATACATGTGTGAAAACAAAAGAACTACTTTTTCTTATTATGTGCCAAGTAACTTAGGATTAATTTTAATATTACATTTCTATTCATATGAACTTACTTCAAAAACTCCAGGTGGATCACTCCTGTAATATAGAAAAACGGTATTTATACATATCATTTCTTAGAATGATGGCGGCAACAAATTATATCCGTGCATTAAGTGCAGACTATCATTAGCCGGCATTTCTACACCTACTTATCATGGACTGCACTTTTCGCTATTAAGTCAGTATTCCGTCAATATGATAGATGAACAAGCCCATTAAAGATTTTTTTCGCGGGATAAAATTTAAAATATCAATCACTGTAATAATTAAAGATGAAAAACAAAAAGATAATATTATTATATTTTATGATTGAGCAATGTATTTTATTATACACATTATTAGAATCAGTATCACGGGTCCTTAATCTGTTTAATGAAAGAGGTACTGCTACACTTTATATGTTGCTTAGGTGTCCAGCCTTATAAAACGCTACAGATACGGTATTTCATTAAACTTTTCCGCAATCAATACAAAAAAAAAACAGAAATGACGATCAATTATTTTTAAAAGAAACATTCATACTTACACGGTCGGACTGCAGGCTTCCTCATCTGAAATTACGATTGTTTACATGTATTTTTTACAACAGTTGTTTAATTCAACTAGTGTAATATGCAAAATAGAAAATATGCAAAGTAGAATATCTTATCTGATGAAAAATTTAGTCATTATCAATATTTATTAATTAACTTTTCAATATTAGGCATGTTTGCACTTCAAATGTAAGGCTAATAATAAATTATGAAATTCACCACGACATTATGAACATAAAACAAGGCCATTCTGCAAAAAGTACGGTCTTTTTTAGTAAAACTCGGCTATAATGAGATAAGAAAATTTTGATTGCCTCCAAGCTCGGCCATTATGAATTTGCAATTTTTTTTTCATAGAAAAAGTCGCCATTTTGAATTGCTGCTTTGTAGGTTTCCGAGACATTTTTTTTAAATTAAAACAAATATCTTATTTGCAATACCTAACAACGGAATTTCACATTAATTATTTTTTGTTCACTTAGTTCTTAACTTTTCCAGATTATGTGTAGTTAACTAATAAAATTGTCAATAATTAAGTGTTTTCAAAATTGCCATGTTATTGGGCTTTAGACTGTCATATTGGCTTTTGGTTTCGGGCTAATATGACAGTCTTCAGCCCAATAACCAGGCCATTATGAAAACACTTAATTGTTAACATTATATTAATAGTATGTTTGTATTATATTATATATATTATATATAATACTGCATCTTAACCAACATTTAGATTAGGGCGTTCAGAATTTGTCTTAGTTAGCTTTAACGTGCCAAACAAAGTTCAATTCTTTATTTTTATACATGTCTATAATTTGGTCTTGATTTAAAATATTATATAACTTAACTATTTGTTAAAGATAGGCATAAACGAGAGTCCATAACAGTGAAAATTACACATATTTTTCAACATAGGTTCAACATCGGTTATAGAAAGCAAACTCATATATGTATATTCCATGAAAAAGAAAACCTTATTTATATATGTATTTCATGAACCAGACTGATTCCCGCTTATCTATACTTCTTACTTAACAGTTTGCCACTGCGAATTTCTGAAATATTTTTCATCGCCAAACCGATAGAATGTCCTGAGACACATGCTCAGCCTTGAGAATACATGACTCAGCGACAAAAATGTGAATTACAATATTACTGTGTTACAGCATATGGCAAGGAATTTCAAATCCATTTCAAAATCACAATTCCTTAGTAACTCATGACACTAAGACAATATTTCTTTGTGTGTTGCACCACTATAATTGAGGTTGCCATGGTTATAGTAATCAATATTTTTGGGCCAGCCATTCAGCATATTTAACCAAGAATTTAGATATTGTTTTTCTTGACACGTACATAATTAGGGCACACGAGCGCAGTTAAATAATGTCTGAAGTTTTTGGGTTTTTTTTATTTTAACGATGTTACTAAAATACACTGTTAACCTCATTCAATCGAAACCATTGGCTAACTATCAGGATAAAGTATCTATACAATTTATTTTTTAAATTCTTTTTGATTTGTTTTGTTCTTTGTTTTTCTTTGTTTTTTTTTTTTTTTTTTTTTGGTTTCCTAACGAAAAATGCTTTTAAAAAGTAATGGATGTCTTCAGAAATCTTTGTTACATTGCAATATATGTTTACTTCGAATGAGGTATAAATAAGAAATAAATTCAAGAAAAATCAACCTTGAGAAAAATTCACTAAGAATTTAAGAAAAGTTAAAAGACTCGATTAAAAACTTAAATGAGCCGTGTCATGACAAATTCAACATAATGCGACCAGCATGGATCCAGACCAGCCTGCGCAGCCGCGCAGTCTGATCAGGATCCATGCTGTTCGCTTACAGACTCTATTACAAGTAGAGTTAACCGATAGCAAACAGCATGGATCCTGATCAGACTGTGCGGATGCGCAGGCTGGACTGGATCAATGCTGGTCGCAAACGCATTTTGTTGGTTTTGTCATGGCGCGGCTCAAATGTTATGTGCGATAGATGACTGATTTAGCAGTATCTATCGCCATATTTCTACTGCTTTACTAACACAGAAAGGGCTATTCTGCATGTTTTGACCTCTTTGTTGTAATACGCGGATTGTATGTGCCGTTTGTCGTTTTCAGTGTGTAAATACTTTCTTTGTTCACTCCACAATATTGTAATTTTAATCACATTTTAAAAATAAATAGCATGAATCTGGAGGCATCTGTCTTATTTTTCTATTAATTAATTTATTTATTCATTCATTTATTTATTCATTCATTCATTCATTCATTCATTCATTCATTCATTCATTCATTCATTTATTTATTTATTTATTTATTTTTTATTTATTTATTTATTTAGTTAGTTAGTTAGTTAGTTAGTTAGTTAGTTAGTTAGTTAGTTAGTTAGTTAGTTAGTTATTATTTATTTATTTATTATTTATTTATTTATTTATTTATTTATTTATTTATTCTTATACTAATTCATTTATTTATTTATTTATTTATTTATTTAACAAACAAATAAATTTATTTATTTATGTTAATTTTAAAAATAATTACTTATGTATATCAATTAATTCAAATCACACGCTTAGAGTTCAAGGTTTAACAGAAGTCTATCATTCCCATACACAAAAAAGAAAATCTATTATAGACATAAATAAGGATCTTTAAAACATGTTAATAAAAATAATTGTTACCTCTGTCCTTTGCGTTTTCGGCTGCCTCCATCATTATCTGGTCAATATAAAAACGAAAATAATAATACAGTACAAATTATAATAAGTAAATCGTATGTCTGTTTCCTTATTCCGACTAGTGTTATTTGGTTTACTGTTGACGCTCATCTCCACGGGGAGCGGAACCCGATATTGATCTCAAAATTGAGCATTGGTGAAAAGAATATGTGATTTTCCGATGATACAGATGTGCATAATTACATCATTTGTGAAAGAGAAAGTAGGTCAATTTTCAACATTTTAAGCATTTATGTAAAATTCAAAGATTATTTTACGTGCAAGAAAATCGAAATTAGACTTTCCACTACATATAGCAATTTTTGTTATATATTTTTTGCAGCTTTAGTATAAATTATCCTTTCGTCGTGGGTTCAAAACGATCGAATCGCCATCAAAATTCCATTCAAGTTCCATATGTGCCGAAGAGATTCATATGTGCATAATAATATGATAAACCATCAACATAATTAGGGGGTTCCTTCCCCGTGATCTCTTTACCTAGAGACTATATGCTGTTCTTTTATGGAATATAATGATGGTCAAACAGCATAAGCGTAGAAGCTCGTACACATTTAAGCATGATATGTAGTAGTAAACATTTACTACTCCCATTCATGATCAGGCTCAATTAAATCGTACCTGCATCAAGAACAAATACATGTATCTCGTGTCGGTCGATTTGTAAACTATTTTCTTAACTAGAATGCTCCTATACCTGCTGCAAATGTGTATTGAAGAATGAATATATAACTAACTAAGAAAAGCGTATACCATCAGTGACCACTTAACTGATATGATGCTTGGCTGATAAGTTTGAAAAAGTTTAAAAAATATATTTAAAGAAAAACACACAATATAGAAACATTCAATTCAAAGGAGAGGGGGGGCAAATTAGCTTGTTCTTATCAGGTTCGCACAAAAAAAAACATTTCTAAGATTTCAGAATGCAGATGATTCATATGTTCACACACGCATTCTTTTACTTGAGAACGTTTCCATTCATTCGCCGTTGTGCATAAAAACATACGAATATATCACATTGAATGTCCATGATCACCGCTGCATGAACACTGTGGATGTTTCGAATTCTTAATTAAACGCCGCATACGTGTTCCAATGTTGAGTTTTACTTAAGACTGAGCTGGGGGGGGGGGGGGGGGGCTCAACGGAAGGTCATATTGCCACTTCCGTTCATGAAGAGGCTTAATCAAACTGAGCTTCGTACGTTTCATATTTTGTCGGGCGTTCTTAGAGGTTTTTATTTACTCTGTTCTATTATCATATCTTATTACCACAAATAATGAGTTCTGATTGTACCGATTTTATTATTTCAAAGGTACAAATACAACACCGAATAACACAAAAAATGCTGTATATTTGATCCCCATGCTGAGTTCGGATCGAGGTAAGTATTTCCGGCATTAGATCAGATTGCAACCGTATTTGTTTCGTCTGCATTGTGATTTGGACTTCCCGAGAAAACTATTTTATCCATGCAATCAAACCGTCCTTTACAGATAGGCATTAGACGAAGTATTAAAATATCGTTGTCGGTGGAAGTAAAACAAATTATTAAGTTTTGTTAGAAAAAAAATGTTTAAATTAGTTAGAAAAAAATAAACTGGAAATATTAGACTCATTTTTATGGGCAAGATTTTGCCAGTTTACTTGCCAGCAATATATGCACAACGCCATGTTTGTTCTCGAAATCGTGAAAATTTCCTTCCCAGTATTGGTTTTCAAGCGGTTAAAATCAAAAACCGCATCGCTTTTGAAATAGTGAAAGCTCGCCGATGATTGGCAGTTGGAAAGGTCACGAGAAGTTAAAATCAAAGCACAGAAGGCGCTGAATTTGTTTGGGTCTCAGAATGTCAGAAAGGTGAAGATTGTGAGATTATAAACCAGTTCGTTTTTGTATAGTGCCACCAATGCTTTCCAGTGTTTTAACTGTAGTAAATTGGCTATTAGACTAATTGCAACACTGATAGTCAATTCAATGTTTATTTGACTTAATTTTTTTTAAAAATGAGTTGCCTCAACGGCGATTTGAACTCGAGACCTCTCGATTCATAAGCGAGCGTTCAAACCCCTCGGCCACGGTGAAATTATAAGTTAACGACCTGAAGAAAACCATATTATTCTAAATTAGGGTTTGTAACTCTTATTTTTCGACGCTAAACACAGATGTAAATAATCATGGAGCTTACTGTAAGCATGTGTATCTATAAAGAATGAATCAATATTAGAAATCTTCGACCATTCGGGAACTTCTTTGCTGAAAATTAATGCGCCTGTCATTGGACAATCTTTACGCATTGATCTCCCCTGTATTTTTCGGCAATAGTGTACATATAAAGGGAAGTAACCGCTTCAAAAAAGTGGACTACTTTAGGCATTTGCAATTAATAGCATTAGGCTCTGAAATTTCGCTACCATTATGTGTTTGGTCTGACGACCCAAATAAATAAAAACTATTGGTGGTCGTCAGATCCCGATGCGTAGCTTAATTAGGAGCTAATTATAATCTGATTGTTTGATACATTACACTCATATACAGGAATACCTTTTCTAGCTAGAAATACATTATCGAAAGGTATGCATCATTCCCAATGGATATAATGATGGTTCATAGTTATGTTCTCATCTTTACCGTGCAAAGAGCGTTACAGACAAGACTAATCTCCTTGCAAAATGGAGTCACCAAGCTACCTTTCCCCTTTGAAAGTGAGTACTTTACTCGTTTGTGTCAATTTTGGGAGCAGATAACTCAAAATCAAGCAAAATAATGTTTTGTTCGAACACATTTTGGCAGCAAACTTATTATTTTTAGCCAAATATAACATGCGACGATTAGACCGAAATACCGTATAGTTCGAAACTATGATACAAATTTGTACACGTTTAAGAGACAAAACAAGTTTTTGACAAAAATTGAGATAAATTTAAAGTAACGGGTAAATTTACTTGTACTGCGAGATGCTGTTTTAAGTTTGAGTTTCGATTCAAATTCTAATAAGGAGTTGTTGATGCTGGTTTTATGGTATCAAGGCGTAATATCGTAAATCTTGGAGATGTTGTAATTTAACGCATTGGTTTTCCATATGATTTAATACAAGAGGAAAGTACCTTTTGGTCAATTTAAACTCACTTAAAGATTCAAACATTGCTGCAAAGGGCATATGTTTAAAGTTCAGTGAGTCTATCATTTGAATGTGACAAACGGGTACTTTGTACTGAGATCCCGTGTTTATCACTTTGGATAGAATAGCATGTTTTTTGTAAGTATTGAAGTAATCGGTAACCATCATTAGGCCAGTAACATGAGTAAGTGAAAAGATTAACCTAGAACTAAATGTAAAAGAATATTTAGCAACATCAGACGAAAGAACTTAATCTTAAGTGCTTACCATAAAAAGCAAGTACCGCGATTGTTGACGACTTTTTGTTCCATGAAGGGGAAAACGAAACATAAATCTTACATTAATTATTTTGAATCATTATTTTTGCTTTTCTATTCCGATTTATTTTTCGCTTTAAATCAAGTTCATCATTTTGTGAACACAAAAAAATCAAATGGCTGTTTAGAGACTTCTTAGTGGCATTGTCAATTCATACCTTGATAGACAACTATAAAAATTACAAAATCATAAACTGGTTGTTAATTACGATATAATGTAGACACACATAAAGTGTCAAACTTTGTCTTATTTAGAAACATGGCATTTTATTTTTTACTTTTTAACTTGGTTTAACTTAATAAAAAAAAACTTTGGTGATAATATTATTTGATATTATGACTATTATCTTATTGGTTTTATGTATAATTCATATATAATTCATATTTATCAATATATTTTGATCAATATTTTTATTATATTTGTAATATCTGTAATCCATTTCAATTCCATAGAAATACAGTGATCTTTTATTACAGATAGACACCAAGTTCTTGTGTCAAGGGATATGACTTTGTGCTGCTTGTAAAAAATCACTCGGTTGAAGTTGAAATAAATCCAAGAAAATGTGTACATGTAGTAGAACTCGAATATGACAATCACTCTGGACAATATTTTGCTCAGAAAACAACACTTACAAAACTAGTCGGTAATCTGAGGTTCTTAAAAAAAATTAAAAAAATTCCACAGGTATTGCAAAATGACTCGGATGTAACGGGAATGTTTAAGCACAGTTCACATACATTTTGCATTAGATTTTGGATGTGTATATAGCTCCCACACTTAGATTTATGGCAATGTTAATAACATTTGCTAGGTATACTTTAGCACACTGTATGCATGGATCATTCAAAAAGAAAATGAAGGGAGATTGTATATATTTGACATTGATCAATGGATTGTATAAATATGCGACAAAGTCTTTATGTAAACAAGTTTTACAATGCACTTCGATCATTATCGGTGTATAAATATTTGCAATTGTCGGTATATAGTTTATTTTTTTATACATGAAGCCGCGTTATAAACATAAAAGCTATATTAATATATGCTTATCGCATAGTGCGGTGATCTTTCTTTCTCTCTCTTTATGTTCATACCACAATAAACCACATGGCATAAAACACCACTTTATAGACGTACATGTATGTATATACATGTATATGACCCAAATATACTAGTTTAAACTATATTACTGTAGTAAATCGGTTGTTAAGAATTAAGAAGATAAATCAACCACTCACCCTTATTGTAGGTATGTCACTTTATGCATTAGTAATTAGCATACATAATTGTGTGTTTATTTCCTCCAAATTTCTTAATAATCACACAAATATGCATTTGTGATTATCAACAGTACGTATTTATTATAGTCTTAATGGTTATTTATAGTAGACCGAGAGTAAATTCAAAAACGAGGCTAACATTAGTACGGAGGACTTAAAGAGACATTATTGTATTTTTACTCCAGGAACACGTGGCATTTCAATTTCACTGGAAGATCACGATAAAGCGTTTAAAAATGACATGTAATTTA